CAAACATGAAGTGGAAAGTCTCACACATTTGTGAAGTATTTAGCTGAAAATTTCTTATTTTCTTCATCGTTGTGAATTTGTCGCTGTTAGTGTCTATTCACGAGTTTCCCATTCCCAGAATGCATAGGGCCCGGGTGTCATTTGCATATCGCAGGAAGGTATCCTTTGTTTGTTTGTTTGTTTTTTGTTTATTAGCATATAATCAGAGAGAAGAACAATAAAATGAACATATTACAGTAAAATAGGATATGCAGGGGAAAGATAAGAAGCCATAATGGATTGTCCGTGATCTTCCCCCGACTAAATTAATTGACAACTGTAATAATGGTAACAAATCAAATAGTAACAATAAATAACAAAAGTAATTGGTAAATAACGTTAACTAGAAATGGTATGTTAAAAAAATAAGTTAACAGAGGTTTAACTGAAGTACAAACCTAAAAAAAAATTGAAGCAATAACTCCAGAATATATAAATGAATTTTAAATTTAGATCTTCTATGACATGTAACGGAAAATTGACGTTGACGTTAAGGAGCTTGTTTTTACCTCCATGATAAATGGAGGTATTGTTTTTGGCGTGTCTGTCTGTGTGTCGACGTCTGTCTGTCTGTGTGTGTGTCTGTGTGTGTGTGTGTGTTTCCGGACATTTGTAGCCAGCATAACTTTTGAACCTTTGGATGGATTGCAATGATATTTGGTATGCGGGTAGGTGTTGGGGAGCCAAAGGTCAAGGTCGATTTTGGGCCTCTCGGTGGTTGACCTTGGTACTGCAGCAGAACTTCCGGTTTTTGTATGTTTTGTCCTGGACATGCTATGGTTCTGATTTTTGAGTGGTGGATAACTCTTCCTGCCAGTAATAAGTGGTGTGGGTTTGGTTCCCCAAGCAGCTTGTTCTGGAACTGCAGGGGGGTTTCTGACGAAACCTTTCAAAGCAGATAAATTCACAAAGAAACAATGTATTTTATGATTTTTGGTATGTGGGTAGCCTAGACAGTGATATACATTATTGGATGCAAATTATGCATATGATGACTTCATTTGCATAATTAATGAGGAAATTCTATAATTACAGTGTTTTACATCATGGGACTTTGGTACACCTCATGTTCAAGGACGTTCTATCTTACCAACTCCCTTGGCATGCTATCTCTCTATTTGGCCGATTTCTACTCTTTCCAGTCGCCTCCCGAAGCCTGGTAGAGGCTAGGTGTTACGTTCGGGACCACGCCTATCTTCCGTGCCGCGACCATGTCAAAAACCATTTCAGAACCATTCCCCGAACCATCCCCGACTGATGCTGGCCAACCTACTACCAACCATCCCGACCACTAGCCGAAGACTGTCGAATCCGTCCTACCCATTTTCCAACTCTGTCCCGAATGAAAATGTGCAGAATCGGGTCCAGTGGATATCAAAACGAGAAACACTTGACGCAATGTTTCGTTCAAAGCATTCAGGACTGTGTAAAGTAAAGGTGTATTGTCTGAAAACCAACTGTAATGCTGTCATCTCTGATGTCAACTCTAATGCTGAAATAAAAGCTTTTAAGCATTTAAAAATGAATACATTTTTTAGGTTGAAAGATATTAAATAACAATATTTGTAAGGCAAATAATGGTATAATGATACTAGTCTAAACGTTTTAACGAAGAAATGCAAATTATATTAGAATTAAGCTGGTAAGATCACACCGGTGTTCAATCTAACTTAATTACTTAATTGAGAAAATGCAAATAATGGTGATTCCGTATCAGGTGGTAAGGCCACGTTGCTGCTCAGAACAAGATGGCAAGTCACGGTGCTAGGACAGGGAAAAACTCGGTGGTTAAAATTCGTCTTTTAACACGAGCTACGTCCGTTTAAGGTGGTGAGTCGCATTTAACATTGTCCTTTGTGTTCTCGTGACTATTTGGGCCGAACTTGTTGCAATGAAATGAAGCTAAAACACAGAATGGAGGGACTATATTGCGCCGGTGACGATTCCGTGTTTAAGCCTGCACTTAGTAAAGCCGCCGTTCGGGGGCGCCTTTTCATGTCCGCTAACATGACAATACATTCATTTATAGATACGCTCATTGTATTATCTTCGCCAAGAAGGTTACGTTTTCAGGGGCGTTCTTGTGTGTCTATAAACACGATAACTCGAGAAGGCTTAAATGGATTGTCTTGATACTTGGTAGGTACGTACATGTAGGTCTTGACGAGACCTCGAAATAATTAGATTTTGGGCCCCCTGGCGGCTTGATATGGTATTGCAGCAGAACGGCCGGTTTTGATATCTCATGACCTAGACATACTAGGGACACGAGATTTGGATGGTAGGTAGGTCTTGTGCTGGGGAGAAGAGACATAAGTTTGGGTCCCCTAGCGGATTGCTCTGGAACTGCAGGGGCATTTGTTGAAAAGTACTTTAAGGAGGATAACTCAATAACCCGTTCAGGAATCGTCATGATTATTCATCTGTAGGTAGCTTAAGTGATGCTTGACATAATCAAATGACAAATATGCAAATAAGGAAAATCTAATTTCCGTAATTACTGTTAATGATAAATAAATAAATCTACCATTCAATCTGCCTGATCCAAGTAGATGCAAAGGGAGGTAGTTAGCAATGCTGGTCATCAAAGCAGTAAAACTTGAATTGTCAAAGAGGGTCCCCTGGTCATCATTTCATTTTTATTTTGCATGCAAAATTGCATGCCATATCAGTCATACCACAGTGCAAGAAATACAATACAGCTCACTGTCTATGCACTTCAGATGGCATGTACATGTGTATTGTGCTCTCATTGTGCTCTGCATGTATTCACAACACAGTCCTGTAATGCAATACACTTCACAAGACATGTACTTGCATCATATGTTAGATGTACCAGTACTAGCCTTTTCAACACTGTTAGGAAGTGTGGTAGCGACGCAATATTTGTGAAAATGGCTTAGTAATCTGACATGCTGTTCTACAGCAAAATGTCCATGCAAATATATATTATTTTGTATAAAATATAGTCCACTTAGCACCATTTGACAATGATTCGCTCAGAGCTGTTTGATTTCATAACATTGTCTTTTGATAAATAGGCTCTAGCTCATTGTTATTAATAGAGAATGTCAATGTTGGATATTCAGTGGCGCCAGCATGAAGTGAAAGCCCTGCGGCAGCGTGAGAAGAAAGCGGCCACACGTCTCCACTTCCTGACAGGGCGGACCTGCTGCTGAGTGTCGCCATTCTCCTGTGTCTCCTCCTCATCTTCACATGACTCCTCATCTTCACTTGACTCCTCAACTTCACTTGACTCCTCATCATCACTAGTGTCCTCATCACTAGACTCCTCATCACTAGATTCCTCATCACTAGGCTCCTCATCACTAGTGTCCTCATCACTAGACTCCTCATCACTAGACTCCTCCTCATCAGTAGGTACCGGCTCACTGATCAGGCTTTGCAGTGTGGTCGGTGTGGTCATTTCGAAGTCCAGTGGATCGATGCTGATAACGGGATCCACTGATGTGTTCAGGACATCCAACAGTTCTGAGTCCGTCAGGCCACGTACCGACAGGCCGTCAATAGCGATCAGTCGTCCCACTGGTAGGGTTGCTTGTTTCTCGACTGCTCCAGTGCAGCAGTACAGCCTGTGCAACTCCTCACCGTCACCAAACAGCTGGTCCAGGATCACATCATCATCAGCCAGGAAGCGGAACCACTCTCCCAGGCGGTCTCTGTACAGCACAAAACCCTCACATCTGGCAGTCTCTGGTAGAGGGACAGGATCAGTGGTCTCACCTGTGTCACCTCCATGGTGCAGCCTGGGTGGTTTTTGAGGGGATGTACCAGTAACCACACCGGCAGCTGAGGGGGTGGAGGTGAGCTGTTCTGTCAGCTGCTCCAACTCTGCCTTGTCCTTGTTTTTTAGGACAGAAGGTCGGAGGCTGGGAAAGAAAGATCATTCTTAGATATGGAGAATTTTTAACCACTGAATAAAATGGGATGATCGAAAAGTCATTAATTTTGTCTTTTAGGATCATTTAGACTACAAGGAGAAATGAATACATAAGTTGAATGCTGTAAGTAGCCTCCTTTGCAGTCTTGTTGGGCGTCGGCGTTATTTTTTCTCT